TCAGTCATCGTGACTCTCCATAGAGTAATATTGGTAGCTCTTTGTCACATATAATAAATACATTTTCCCATTTCTCATCACATAGCTTATGGAATAGATATTGAATGCCACACTATTCTAAGATGCCTCTCTTATAGGAGGCATTAATACAATAGCCATTGAGAAGAGGAGAGGGCTGTAGTTCTTGTTCATTTGAAGGAATAAATAAGCATTCACTACATGTTCAATCCAAGTCACTTTCTTCAGCACCACAGAGTTTGAGTCTCAGCCTTCTCCACATCTTCCAGGGGCCGAAGGGTCAAGATTAGAGGTAGGGATTACGAGAGGCAATGGTGGTTGTGATGCTGTTCAGCAACCAATGTCCAAAAGAGATGTTGTAATTTCAAAGCATACAAAAGAATATTGGGGATTTTTTATCTGCAGTTCCTATTTGGTTATACTTGCAGTTTCATTTTCCCCCCTTTACTTGCAGGAAAAAGATTCCTGAAGTTCATCAGCTTCCTTAGGTAGTTTCTGACATATAGATGCCTAAGTGTCGGACCCATGAATAGGTCTCTGCTGGCTTTCAAACTTTTATGATCTACTTCAAGAAGTTTGGCTCTTTCTTTTCAATGTTTAAACAAGTAACGCATGATTCTATTCTCACTGTAAAAATGCAAACAGTGTAGAAAAATTTAGGGTAAAAAGTGGAAGTCCTGCGACACCCCCTAATTCCTAAATTTAGTTTCCTTCCCCAAGGAGACCACTCTGCGGTGTGAAGCTTCCCAAACCTCACTTGTGGGTTTCTGTGCACACAGATGTGTGTATACCAATTACAAGGCTTTGCATTCCGTAAACCATTCTGTACAGACTCGGTAGCTCTTTTCATATAGTTTGTTTTGGAGAGCTTCCCATGTAGACTCCGTAAATGGTGGACATTTAGGTTGTTTCTAATTATTTGCTCTTACAAACAGTGCTATAATTAACATCCTTGTAAATGTCTCTTTGTACATATGGGCAAGCATTTCTTTAGGGTAGCTATCTATGGTTTGGCAATTTCTGCTGCCTTTAATTGCATTGCCTGGTATCTGGCAGACGATCTTCCGCATGTACAATAACTTTTTGCGTCCGCGCTCCATTATAGTGTAAGTTTTAAAAAGAAGTTCTAGGCGACAATTAGGGATCTAAGTTTAAGTTCAAATTCTGTGTGGATCGCTGTAAGCAACTGAGGTGACGCTTAAATGAACAGATACACACGGCTAAGTTCACCCACGCCCGGGGAAGTTGTGATGGGGAGCAGATAAGATCCCCCTCCTTCAAACACCCATTGTAAGGTATATCATGATTTTGCAAGCATTAAAATATGAGAAAAATGCATCTTGGGATAGAGGAGTTATGGTGTTTTGTTTTCCCTAAGTGAATAGATAGCCTATTGCTTCACCCCCATACTTGAAGAGTCCTTCCCTTGTGAGTTGATACAATTGCTTTACTACTAACTCATCCTCCCTTCCCTCCCCCGCCACAGGTGGATGTGTCTCTGCACTATTAGTCTTTTTTTTCTTGTTGTTAATCCTCACCTGAGGATATTTTTTTTCCATTGATTTATTTTAGAGAGAGTGGGAGGGGAGAGGGGGGAAAGGGAGAGCGAGAGAGAGAAACATCAATGTGAGAGAGACATATCGATTGGTTGCCTCCTGCACACGCCCCCACCGGGGCGAGGATTGAACCTGCAACCCAGGTGCTTGCCCTTGACAGGAAATTGAACCCGAAACCCTTGGGTGCTCCGGCCGATGCTCTAACCACTCAGACACACCAGCCAGGGCTGGACAATTACCTTTTGATCCATGCGTCTGTTCCTATGTGTCGGTGGTAGTTCAGGGGGCAAGCTCTCCTGTAGTCTTATTTTTGAGAACTTTCTTGCACATTTGTCTTCCGTCTGCTGCTCTTCCTTCTTCCCACACTGTCCCTTTTACACGGGGCACTTCGTAGCTGTTCACACCCGGCATGATGGTGCATCGCGACGGGTCTGATGTGCGAACATCTGCAGCAGTCAAGACCACACTTTCCTCAGGACTTGACACGGAGCTTGCACCAGCACGCAGCGATCTCTCATTCTCTCTCTCAGCCCGTGACATCTCCCAGCATCGCTGCTCCAACATCAGTTATGCCTGAGTCTTGAATGGTGTCAATCCGAGTTGAAAATGTGCCAACTTCCTTAGCATTATCACTAACAGACTGTTTAATTAACCTGTGCTACTGTCAATCGTCGATCTTGCCGGTGTGCTAGAGAGGAGACCCGTGGCCACCCATGGTTGGCCTTGGTCTTGGTTTCTCTCTCTCTCTTTTCCATTCGCTATTCCCTTGCGGCTCTCAGTGTTCGTGACTCAGGAGCTGGACTGGCCAGGAACCGATGGGAGGGACCAGGGATGGCTTGGAAGGAAGACGGCAGAACTGAATGTTCTGGGTGAGATCATGGAAATGAAATGACTGAAACAGGCCAGCAATCCCCCTGCTCAATGGTGATAGCAGCTAACCTGTGCATACAGCAGGTGCCCAATAAATGGACAACCAGTATACACAGTCAACAGGAGAAATGACGGTGCATGTGCCATTTGAGTAGGCAGTGAGGATGGGGGTGTTCCAAGGGAGGAGCCTGGGGGTTGCCCTCATTCTGAGGTGGCTTTTAGGGTTTTCACTGCC